CAAATCAAAATGAGCCGGGCGTGGTAGCGCATGCCTGTAGTTCCAGCTACTTGAAAGACTGAGGTGGAAGGATTGCCAGAGCCCAGCAGGTCAAGGTTGCGGCGGCTGGGAGCAGCCACTGCACTCCAGTCTGGGTGACAGAGTGAGACTCCAACTCAAAAAAAAAAAAAGATTAATGTATTTCTGTCATTTGATAAGTAATTTAACATATGTTTGTGAAAAAAAGTAAATCCCATCAAAAGTAAATATTCACTGGATGTATCCTTCTTTTATATATAACAAATCTTCAGTAAAAACTGTACCTGTATAAGTTGATGCTGTAAATATATCTAAATATCATTTTAAATATCATTTACTCTGATTACATTCATTCATTTCACACCAATTCTATGTATCTGACGTCTGAAGATACTGGTTTGGCTGTGGTTATTATCCTAGTTTCTTGTTATTTTGCAGCTTACATTAGCTTTTCCTTTGTAATTAGAGCATGTTCTCTTACATGACAAGCTAATGGAAATGAAAGGGGGATTTTGCTTCATTCATAACCAAGGTCACTATAGGTAATGACAGTGTTCAGGGAATAACATTTCTGATTAACTTAGGAACAGAATTATTAACTTATTGTCCAATTAACTTATGGTAGTAGATTTCAGGGGACTGTAAATTAATTGTTTCCTTGTCATCTGAATTTTCTAATTGTCTTTCAATGATTGTGTATGACTTACACAATTTAAAATGTAGAAACAGTGAATAATAAAATGTCTTAATCACAATAAGGTATATGTATTGAACAAAATAAGGTAGATGTAATGAACAAATAAGGTATATTATATTAATCAAATCAAATAAGGTATATTAAACAAATAATTATATTATATAATCACAATAAGGTATATGTAATGAGCAAAACTGAATCTTTGACATTTGGAGATCCTGCAATTATTATTCTGAAATAAAACCATCTGTACATTCTATATGTAGATATCTATAGTTATGTATTTATATTTATATATGGATATATATACAGTCTATCCCTAGACTGTGGGAGCTGACAGGCCATTTATTAATCTTCATATCTACATCGCTTTGCAGAAAGCCTGACCCATAATAGAACTTTAATGTTTGCCATATGAATAAATGAAGATGGTATACAAACCACAAAAAGTTAATTGAGAGTCATGTAAGTTTTTAAAATGTTAATTTATACATCTGAGACCAAGAAATGTAAAATGTTATACTCATTAACTTTTTTTTCTTTTTTAACAACCTTATTGGCTATATTGTACGCATCATAAAATTCACCATTTCAAGCCTACAATTCCATGATTTTGAGTAACTGCAGTGAGTGACACAGACATCACTGTTCATTGGTTTTGGAACATTTTCCCACATACCCCTATAAGGTCCCTCATGCCCATTTACAGTTCCCACCCCCAGCCCAAGCAGTCACTGATCTACATTTCATATAAATGGAATCGTGTCTTGTTTCTTGGACTTAGCATAATGTTTTTGAGAATCATCCATGGCATTAGCTCTTTTTAGGTAGAACCGAGGTTTGGTATCATTTAGTTCTCTCTGGTTGCAGTAGCCAGAGTGTTTTGAATAGCTCATCTCTTAACTCTTTTATTCTTCAAAAACAAAAGCAATTAAATTACTCTTAAAGCCTTCTTCATCTTGGCTTTTGTTATACTTTTAGGAAAACGACATCACAGATGATATTGGAATATCAGCTTGGAAGCAGCAGACTTTCCTGTCCCATGGTGCCTTGCTCGCCAAGAGCTGCCAGGCAGCGATGGAGTTAGCGCAGCATGGTGCCGAGGTCCAGGGTATGGCGTTTCAGTATGGGAAGCACATGGCCATGAGTCATAAGGTATTTGCACACCCTTTTTCTTTGTCCAGCACTTAAACAGCTAAAATGAAACACAAAACCTTTTGCCACTTAATAAGCTGCTTTCGTATCTCAAAAACGTTTACTGTGTGCTTGAAATCTATCAGTCATAAACAGTGATTGTTATGCAATATAAACAGTATGCTTGGTAAGTACTGTGGAATTCTGACAGAAAGCTATAGCTTACTTAAGCCATATTTGTGATGTTTGTTTTTTCTCATTGTCTGAAAGAGTTACTGAGATAACTCTTACAAATTATTAACAATATATAATATTACCATTCATAGAATGGAAGAATATTCATTATTTTTGTTAAAATTTCCTTATAGCTCTTTATGTAAAACACATTATGAAAAGTTAATGAGGCCGGGCTTGGTGGCTCAGCCTGTAATCCCAGCACTTTGGGAGGCTAAGATGAATGGATTGTCTGAGCCTGCGGGTTCGAGACCCGCCTGGGCAACTTGGTGAGACCTCATCTCTACAATAAATTAAAAAAATCAGCCAGGCGTG